ATCCCTTGTCAATGTCGTCGACTCAACTCCTCTGAACTTCGCCGCCGTCGTCACCGCCACCTCGTTCAACCATTTGAATCACTTTTATAATTGTTTTCTATATATCTTGCTCTATATTTTTTGTTTGTGACTTTCTACTAAGTTGACATACAACTTCAGTAAGAAAGGGATGCATCTAACATGTGCACTCGGTGGATGAGTGTTCTTCTTTCTAGAATTCATGTAGCTGTGTGATCTACGTTCCGAGTGTAAAGTTTTGTCACTAGTGATGGCCTACACACATGGCATGGGACTATGATCTACTCAGTAGCTCACAGTGAGGAAACAATAACAAGGATAGAAATTAGCAAACTTAATGAAGCTATGTTTTGTAAATAAGTACTTGCGTGACAAATTATGTGTAATAAGCTTTGTACACAACAACGGCTTACCACTATAGAATATGGCATCTCTAGTTATGCATAGCAATCCTCAGACATTTGCAATCATATCGAGAGTATGACAGAAACCGTATAAAAACAACGTAGATGATTCTCGTAGAAAATTCTAGAGGACAATGTTGAAGCAACCACAACAAGTAAATAGGATTTTGGAAAAAAACAACCGCAAATTATATAAGCATAGCTCCAACAGAGTACAAGTGCTTGTTGCGCTCTCTCACAACCCTGCTTGATCCTCTAGGGCCCTCTAATTCTTGTCGTACATAAAAAACTAGTGCAATAGAAATGTCTAGCCTAGTCATCTCGAGCGCTCCTAATTGCTCCTTACAAGCCTTGTGTTGGCTTAGTTGACGCCTATGACCTCCTCCCCCTTTGTTTGTATAGTGCCCTCCAAGATCCTCGTACATACAAGTAGGAGTCCTATTTCTGATAGGATTCAACATTAAAGAACTATGGCTATAACTGTGACATTTGAGAGGGGGTAAATTAGACAACTTAAAAAACTAAGGCTAAAACCACTTATAAAAAACTACACAAGTTCTATCTAAATGTGGACTATGGATTTTCTCTTGCTTTCTCACAGTCTCTTTTGCCAAAATCCCTCAAGAAATCACCAAGATTTGAGCAAAGGGAGTTGGGAGCACCAAGAATAGAGAGAGACAGAAAGCTTTAGGTCGAAATGAGTGAGTGAAGAAGATGACCGAGAAGGTATAAATACCCCCTCAACTCCCACAAAACGGTCGACCATACAGAGCGTGGAGGCTCCACGGCGCGGAGGCTCTGCCTCCATGCGCAAAGGTTTCGCGCAGGCCAGAACAGATTAGAATGAAGATCATCTTGGCTTTTATGGCTGGGTTTATTTGTGATGTAGGTACAGATGTGAGCACTTGGTTCCACCTAACACACTATTAGTATCCCCCTTGATAGTATGGCTTGTTCTATAACTCAATTTCAAAACATAAAATGAAGCAATCTTGCTCCTTAGTCATTGCAAGCCATGCTTTTGAGTGGGGGTGGGGGGGGGGGTCTCCTCCCGTGTTTCTTTGCACCCATAACTTATGATCCGCTGTTAAACACTTGTAAAAGCCATTAGTCATTTAATTATGTGGCCAACATCACCAAAACCTACTTAGGGCTTGATTGCACTTACATGTGTGTGTAAGCACAATAGTAAAGAGGTGTGCAAACCTCACTAAACTCTAGGATAACACTTAAAGTAAAAGCATTAATGTGGCTTAAACTAGCCTAAGCACAAACAACTACAACATCTTAACCCCACAACATTTAGATGTCAATGACCTAGTGCACATGCATTTTCTCCATATCTTCTCGAGGACAACTAGCGAGAGTAATTCTAATATGTGAAATTGCCAACTAAGAATGTGAAACAGTGACATTGTATTCTCCATCAATTGCACCACACAATGTGAAACACTAACATTCTGTGTTGAACTCCCTTTATTCCAAACTATAAGTCACTTTTTACTTTTTTGGTACATCAATTTTATTATGTCTCTAGATAAATAATATATCAGGATACATAGCAAAATGAATGAAATTAAAAGTCAAAGTGACTTCTAGTTTGAAGCGGATGGAGTGGTTGTCAAGCGGTTCACTAAAACAACTTCAACTCTATCGGTTGAGCAGCTCGTATTATATGTTTTCAAGCTCTACCAAAACACCAAAATCTAGTTATGCTGTCAAGATTCAATAACTCGATTAAATTTTCAGAAGCAGTATTATATGTTTTCATTTTGCAACATATACAAATTATATATAAATGCCTATTTTTTACCAAATCTAATAGGACACAATCCAATTCTACAATTGGATCCGGTCAAGCTGCTCGGGATGCGATCATTTTCGACGCGATTGTTGGCATGTGTAAGTCGCAAGGCCTGATAGATATCGGCCCATCCTGCCCTTCGCAAAACGCGAATCGACGTCGGCAAACTGCCCAGCAGCCCAGGCCCCTTCTCCAAAAAAAAAAAAAAACACAGCCCAGGCCCCACCTCCTCAGGGACCTACACGGTAATAATAAACCTCCAAAAATTCCAACCCAAAGCGCCCAAAGGCACACGATTTCGCACGGCTTGGCGGCTTCCCGCTCACATTTTCGGCTCGCACACCCCGCTTACCGCCTAAACCACCTGGATCCGCGGCATCACGCGTCCCCACGCCAAACCGCCCCCGCGCGCTGAAATCCCAGCCGTACCGCGCATCCAACGCCTCAGAGACCGCCATCTCAGCGATCCGCGCCGCCACCGCTTCCACCAATCACGTCCCGCCTCACCTTTCTATATAATCCCACCGCATCCTCAATCCAGAGCACACAGCCAAAAGCCACGAGCACTCGACAAATTCCAAATCCGCCGCTTCCCACCTCGCGTTCGCCGCTCCATTTGATCGATTCCTGATGGCGCCCAAGGCCGAGAAGAAGCCCGCCGAGAAGAAGCCGGCGGAGGAGAAGGCCGAGAAGAAGCCCAGGGCGGAGAAGCGCGTGCCTGGCAAGGAAGGCGGCGAGAAGAAGGGGAAGAAGAAGGCCAAGAAGAGCGTCGAGACGTACAAGATCTACATCTTCAAGGTGCTCAAGCAGGTGCACCCGGACATTGGTATCTCGTCCAAGGCCATGTCCATCATGAACTCCTTCATCAACGACATCTTCGAGAAGCTCGCCGCCGAGGCCGCCAAGCTCGCCCGCTACAACAAGAAGCCCACCATCACCTCCCGGGAGATCCAGACCTCGGTGCGCCTCGTCCTCCCCGGCGAGCTCGCCAAGCACGCCGTCTCCGAGGGCACCAAGGCTGTTACCAAGTTTACTTCCTCTTAGGTTGCTGCGGCACGGTGCTACGGTCCTGTTTCGTTTCCTCGTGTGTTTAGGCCAGTGCTAGGTTGCTCGTGGAACAATGTAGAATTTGTTGTATCTGCAGAATGATAATCAGTTACCCTTGTGGAAGTTTCTAATATATTGCAATGTGCTAATATGATTTGCTTCAAATCTTGAGGAGGTTGTCAATTTTGGTCCAAGTTATTAGAACCGGACCGAAGATTGAACCGGTGAGGCTGTCGGTTCACTGGTTCACTGGTCCAACCGTTTAGAACCGGTTGAACCGCCGGTTCAATTGTTTTGGACCGTTGAATCAAACCGGCCAGAAATATAATGAACCGATGTATATATATATATATATATATATGATATAATTAATAATTTATAGATGGTAAACAACACAAATTAATTGTTCAACCATAAGATTCATACATGCAAATTAATTCAAAACATCAAGTGTGAGAATAATCTCATTGTGATAATTCAAAACAGAATAAATAGAATAGTAATTGAAATATTCACAAATCACAAATGCAGAACAATCTCAAATGCTAAATATAAGTGTACCATTGCAAAGAGCTCGTTGTGGTAATCAAAATAGATATATTATTTGTCTAATTTGGAGCTAGTATGAAAAAGATATGAAAATTTGAAATTTATATATTATACATATTATTTAATATATGTATTATATATTTAATTTGGTGACGTCACAACCACCAAAATTCAAACGGGACACACATCCTCTCCAAAGCGTGATGCGTGAACACCTGCGGCAGTAACAACCAGGCGGGGGCTGCAGCGGGACGTACCCACAGCAGTGGCACTGTGGCAGGCGCAGGCGCATGCGCCCGTCACCCGGGGACCAATCAGGAGCAGGCGCAGTGACACACGCTGACTACCAGCATCGACTCGGCCGGTTCGCATGGAACCGCCCGGTTCACCGGTTCCGTAAAAAACCGGCCGGTTTAACCGGTTTTTAGCGGTTCGATTGCATAGACGGTCTTTTAAGTGAACCGGACCGGTCTAAGCTCTGGTTCGGTCTTTTAGCGGTCCAACCGCCGGTCCGGTCCGGTCTGAATAACTAGGATTTTGGTACGATTCTTGCATGCGGTGCTGTTTAAATTTGCGACAACCGCCAAGGTTTTTACATCTCGTACTATATTTGGCGCCAATATTTGCTTGGGATTGCCTGGGGTTAAAACAATCTCTGGGACGATGTAATGTGTTCAGGGGTTTATGGGTAAACAATATTTGTCAGAAATGTTTGAGGCACTGCTATGTGAAATCTGATCGCCTGATTTGTGGCAATGTTTGCCTTGGCCAGTTTTCAGTATTCACATCCGGACAAGTTAATTTGTGCTCATGGACTTCTAACTGAATTTATCATCACAAATTGCAAGAAAATGATATAAAGCTTTGTGTTGTTTTCGGAGTTTGGGCGATTTGTGGCACCATGCACCTGACTGGGGAGGCTCATCTTTGTTCTCGTCTTTAGGACAGTTACTTGCAGGTTTCCTTTGCTGTTGGGATTGAGGAAGGGACTTTTATTATTGCTGCTAGCTCAATGCATCGATGAAGGCTGAAATCTGATTATTCATTCTTCCAGCAAGCATTGATGAAATGCAGTCTGGTCTGGTGTGTCCCTCATGTACTAGTAAGTTCAAAAAAAGACGATGACAAGTAAACACATTTACCAATAACCTCTCTTGGATACTCATTTGTTATTACTATCACACAATTGAGTAATCATGTTCATCTTCCATGGAATAAAAACATGCTTCAAGCATCGAATAAATTTCATCACTCTGATGATGCCTAAAGTCTCCATTGGAGAAGACATGGACCTTGTCCTGGACCTCAATCCAACTACAGCCGGTGATTCTCTTCAGCCCCTTCTCCTTAATCTCCCTCCTGATCATAGACACACTTTGCCAGCTTCCTGATGCAGAGTAAACATTTGACAGAAGAATGTAGGAAGATGTGTCCTGTGGATCCAATGCATGAATGCGCTTTGGTAACACTCTCAGCCAGCTCCTGTTCCAGTGAATCTGACAGCCCCCTACCAAAGCCTTCCAGAACCCAATGCCTGGCTCAAAGGGAGCTCCTCAAGAAACCTCTTGGCATCGTCAAATCGCTTGGCACGAGATAGTAGATCAACCACACAAGCATAATGCTCAGGTTTCAGTATGCCGGGTTGCTCCATCTCTGCGGTCTTGAACAATGCATAACCTTCATCAACCAGACCAGCATGGTTGCAACCAAACAGCAAGCCGAGGAGAGTGACATTATCTGGCTTGAGGCCCATTGCTCTCATCAACCTGTAAGCATCCAAAGCCTCCTCTCCCTTCCCGTTCTGTGCATACCCGCAGATCAGTGCATTCCAGGAGACCACGTTTTTCCGATTCATCTTTTTGAAAGCCAAAACACTGTCCTCCAAGCTACCGCACCTGGCATAGAAGCTCACAAGAGAATTACCTATATAAACGTCAAGCTTGCCCAAGAACTTGATGGCTGATGCATGAACGCTTCTGCCAACGCCAAGTGCCCCTGCATTGGCAACAGAAGTGAGCACGCAGGGGAAGGTGCTTTCATTCGGTGTGATGCCTCCTCGACACATTTTCAGGAACAGATTGATAGCCTCCTCACTGAGACCGGCTTGACTGCACCCGCCGATCATCGCGTTCCAGGAGACCACGTTCCTCTCTGGCATGCGCCGGAACAATCGGTCTGCTTCATCAAACATTCCATTCTTCAGCAAACCGGTAATGAGGGCGGTGTAGGACACCACATTCGGGTCACAGGTGTCATCGAGCGCGCCCCGGGCCTCCCTCATGGCGCCCATCTTCGCATAGTGGTCGAGGAGGGCGCTGCCGACGAAGACGTTGGAGCAGAGGCCGAGCTTAGCAGCGCAGGCGTGGAGCTGCACACCGACGCGCGGTGCTCGAAGAGCGGTGGCCGAGCGCAGGACGGTGCCGAAGGTGAACTCGTTGGGCGCGACGCCGTCGGCGAGCACTTGGGAAAACAGTGCCAGGGCGTCGCGGTGTCGCCCGCGGCGGGTGAGCGCGCCGATGGCGGCCGTGGCAGAGACGACGTCCCGGTGCGGCATTCCGTCGAGCAAGTTGCGCGCGGGTGACAGGGCAGTCCGTCGTGGGCACTGGGCGCCGCACGACTACCACATGATGAGTTGCGCCAGGGGTGATGGGGAGCCCCGTCAGGATTTCGTCGTACACGTACTGGGTGCGGGTGCGCCGCGGCGGTACCCAGTGCGCGTGCGCCGATGTGGAGGCCGACCCAGCGGGCCCGGGCTTGGAGGCCCGGATGGGGATTGGGGAGCCTCAGGGAGTGCGGCGACGGCTGCGCGTGTGCGCCCTCGTGTTGGAACCGGCGGACTCAGCGTGGCGTCGCTGTGCGGCTGCGCGTCGTGCCACCTGCACAAGGGGTGGGGGCTGCACGCCGCGGAGGCCCTCGGCAGTTTGTGCGCGAGTACGCCGGTAAAGCAGAACACGCCCCTCCTCAAGTGCTTGAAATGCTAATGGCGTTGATGTGCAGACAGCGGTCTTCACAGTTCTGGTAAAATATATGCAATAATGAATAATATCATGGTGGTTTCAATCTGTTCTCTGTTGGAACAGACTCTTTTGCATCAGTCAAATTGTTGGTGCTGGTTTCAATCTGTTCTCTATTGGGTTTCTGTGTTTCTTATGGCTCATTTATTTATATCATAAATCTTTTAAACTGATCAGTGGCTCATTGCTTATTGCATGGTCCCATACTCAAGCTAAGCACTGCAGTATATCCCAGTGGGATTGGGCAGAGTAGGATATACTGACGCCCGTAAACTGCGTATTTGATTACCTCACGTCCACAGTTCGATCTAAATCTGACGCCGGTAAACTGCGATCAGGAGTACAGAAGGAAAAACAACCCAACAAACTACAGTGAGGTCTATCAATGGTGAAAGACAGAATCAGAAACGAAACTGCGATAACGATCCACGGACACAGGATTGGTGGATTGATGCATACACGAATCGTAATCTGTAGTTACATCTGTTACAACTGCAATAAGCAAAACAGAGATACATCTCGCTCGTTCCAAACTTCCTCTGTGGACAGCCTTGCAATCTTCAATTGGTGAATTAGAAGCAATGAAGCATACAATATGACAATAAAGTTTGAATTATTCTATCGGCAGTTATCTCCAGAGAAAAAAAAATCTCCTGCGACTTGAGCAAAATAACTGAAACTTTCTATGGAACATAGATACACTAGCTCATAAGCCGTCTGATTCCGAGGTCTTGGTGATTCTAGGTCCTGCCCATTGTTGGCTAGCACGTGACTTGGTCCATGGATCAAGAGGAACTCGTTGACGCGGCGGCGGTGTTGCTGGTTTGGGCTCTCGAAGCTCATTCTCCCTGTCCACGAACCTGCATATGACATAACGGATAAATACATGACTACAAGGAATCTGCTATATGTCATTTGACGGGTTACTGCAGTCTGACTCATATTGAACTATTTGAATGTAACAATGTCAAGCAAAGCCAATTACTCCCTCCATTTTTTAAATATATGACGTTTAGGACAAGCTAAAATAAACTAATTAGCTTGTCCTAAACGTCATATATTTAAAAACAAAGGGTGTACTTGGCTAGAAATATATACTCAGCTCCTTTCACTAAAGGAAGTACCAAGGAACAATGAACTTGCAACAGGCACCAAACTATAACACCCTGTGAGAAACTGTATGGGTAAAGTCGGTCTCCAAGAAATAGATAAAGAATGTTACTCGATGTATGCCATTGTTGAAGCATCACCAGTACGTATCTTGGTTCTTAACATTCTTGTGTATCCGCCAGCTCGATCTCTGGAATATAAGAATATACAATTAGTTCCAATCCACTCTGCTTCCAAATACATGGCATTCTATTCTACTTTTCACATTTGTGTTATCATACAAATCATTATACAACTTTTAGATGAATAGTAAAAGTTTTTAATGCCAAAATCTTCAATATTATGCTAGAACTAAGGTTCTGGAATATACATTAAATATTGTACTGTAGTTGTTCTCCTTATGCCTTATTGCCTATTTCAGACATCAAAATCACAACATCACACCAATTCTGAAATAGGGCTAGTCACAAATCGAATGCAGATACTGTAAATTGTGTGAATCCATGTGTAGGTAAAACAGATTACCTGTAGCGGTAGGCCAGCTCAGTGAATAGCTTATGAACAACATCATCACCCCGAACAAACGCAGCAGCACGTCTTGCTGCATGCTCAGTACCCTACATATCGTGTCAATATATGCTATAAGTTTCTGCATTGTTGGCTTCGAGACATCAAGTCACCAAAAATCAAAACAAGACCCAGGCCAGATAAAAATAAGTTTGAGTTGCAAATAAGCTTCTAAGGAAGGGCATAGGGCTCTAAATCATATGCCTATTGCATACACCTCTGGGACATTTTTTTTTCTGGTTCTGACAAAAGAATAACATATCTAGGACTATTGGGTGTCCACAAAAAAGTTTAATCCATGACTAAGGGCTCCTTTGACACAGATTCTTGCCGCTGATTCCTTTAAGAAACCAGCAAATCCCCGTCAAATGCCTTTTCATCCGTTGGCTCCATGTGGGAATCACAGTTAATTGATTCGCCATTTTGCACACGTGAGGCAAGTCAGTCAAAACCTCATTTCACGTGCGACTAATCAAACTGTTTCACCAACTGCATTATCCCCTGTCGCTACGGTTGGCTCTCCTTGGCGCTGATCTCCCCATTGGTGGGAAGCTCGTCCTCGGATGTGAGCTCCCTGTCGGGGTCAAGCTCGCCCTTCATGCTGAGATCCCGGTCCCATCTCTCCTCCGTGCCAAGCTCCTCCTTGATGGCAAGCTTGCCTTCCATGCTGAGCTCTCTTTCACAGCAAGCTTTCCCTCCACACTGATCTCTCCCACGCCGAGCTTGCCCTCCATGTTGTGCTCCCATGCAAGGCAAGCTTGCCCTCTGCACTGAGTTCCCTACCACGCCATGCTTGCCCTTCACAATGAGGAACCCTGGTGCCCACTGAGGCCTCCCATACAGCCAGTGAATCAATTCAATTTGTTGCCACCCTTCGCACAGATGGAGAAGGAATGCGGTCAATTTATCCTCTTTTAAGAATTAGAACCCAACCAGCTATTCAAACGATTGCACAGCTGAATTGATTAATCAAAGAAACACGTTCAGGGCACTGGGGGAGCCTCCTGGAGGTGAACCTGGGCAGTCCACCCCCTCTCTTGCCATCTACTTATTCCATGAGATAGGACTGTAAACTGAAGAGAAAAAAGGCTAGTACTTGATAGAATGCTATGTTTTCTTTGCTGAAGACAATTACTAATTTCTAATAAGAGAAGGTATTAAGAAAACTAGACTGAAGCGGTAAAATGTTTCTATATATTGATTTGTACTCAACAATTTGGTTTCCCCCTTGTTTAATCCCCACGCTCCGCCGCTATTTCAGGGTGAATTTGAATAACTTCCAAAGTGAATCAGAATCTGGAGCCATGCCAAATGGGTCCTAGGATGTTAGGGTTATTGGATCCTTTATTACAAATTAGCATTGACAACAAAAGATGCTAAGTTCCGTGCCAGAGACAAAGATGCTGGTCTGCATACTCGATTAAAACAAAGGTGTTGGTCTGATTGCTTAAAACCTTGCTTTGCTTAAAAAGAGCTGGAAAGAAACTACTTATAAGTGTCCATTGAGATTTCAATGAATCAGAGTGTCAAATAAATAGACAGGAAGCATTATTTCTGAAGTGGTAATCAGACAATCAGTGGCCAATAGTGTCCAGCTCCAATTCAGGCAGCAATGCATACAAGCCATGTGGAGAAGTATCTCATCTGAATTGTAGAGGTGAATCCTACCGGCCGCTGAGAAGCAGCAGCGGGCAAATATAGGAACACTGATTTCTTTCTTACAAATACTTCTAACCTATGCGCATACTTCGCAAAAATGATTGCTAGGTTGTTTACAGCCACTGCCCTGCATAGATTCATGGATACCACGAAATGCCCCGATATTTCACGCAGGAATTTAATTAGCATCAGGGGACTTGTGTTCCAATTACCTCCTTCCCTAGCTGCACCATCTGATCCGCCTTCCGCCGGACCTCCTTCGCCTGAAACGAACCACGGCAAAGGAAACGCATTCAACGATCACCCCTCCTGGAACACAAATCCTGCCCGCGCCACCACAGGCCCCTGCTCGAAGAAACACCGGTATGGGAAATAAAGTACCTTGGCGAGGGTGGTCTCGATGCGCTCGTGCTTCACCAGCTGCGACACCATCGTCCTGCCGAGGAGACAAATCCAGAGGCTAGCGGCAAGGCAACGTAGAGGCTAGAGCCATAGGATAGAGGCGTTGATGCGGGTTAAAAGCAAGACCTGAGCAGGGAGAGGCGGTGGGAGTAATCGCGGCCAAGCTTGCGGAATTTACCCATGGCGACGGCGGGGAGGAGGAGCAGGCGAGCAGCCGGCGACGGCGAGGGTTGTGAGGGGTTTGCGAGCCGGCTCGGTGCGGACGGAACTCTGTGCGATCTCGCTGGGCTCGACTGCCGTTCGACTCATGGGTCGAACCGGCCTGATGACCGGTGTTTGGATGGGGCCTCATGGGCCTTCACTCACTTCACCCATCAGTCCTAGTGCGTTTCGGCCTTTGGGCCTCTGTCAGCTATACGCGGTTTGTGTAGACCACTTGGCCCAAACAGGACAAGCAGAAAAGGCGTTGGGTGATCTCAACGCAACACGGTACTGGAGTAGAGTAGTTCGCTTGCTGTCCCGTCCAACGT